ATGATCTTATGGAAATCTACAGAGATTTTCAATTGACTGAAAAAGCTTGCCACTGCTTTTAACTTGACCTGTACCTTGCTGACAGTCTTCTCAACTTTGTAAATCCTGATTGCAAACGCTTTGCAGAGTAAGATTGCATTTTTAATTTCTGCTTTGCAAAATAATTTAAAACATTGTGCTTTTTATTAAGGCAACCCTTTTCACATCTGAATGAACAATACAACTGTGTTCCTAGAGGCATTTTGTAACTTTTTTTAAAAAACTAATTAACTGCTTCACAAATAACCAAGATATATACTATTGAGTATTTTATTCCTGAAACTACTTACCACTTCTGTGAATTCATTACTTCCCAAATCTAATCTCTCCAGTTGGGTGAGTCTGCTCATGGTTCTATAAAGATCAAGGAACAATAGTAAGATAAAGAAAAATAAAGCAGTAGACATGAAACAGATTACTGAACACCCAGAGATATTTTTGAGATATTCATTTCCAGATTTAAAGGTTTTCTATTCTGGGATTGTTCATTTTTGAACAAAATGAAATTGGTGAGATTTTACCCCATGTACAACTGCTTCAGAACCAAAATAAAACAAAGAACTCAGGCTGCTGGAGATCCGAACCAAACAGAAACAGAAATTGCTGGAGAAACTCAGCAGATCTGGCAGCATTTGTAGACAGTAAAAGAGTTAACGTTAGGAGTCCAGTGACATTTCTTCAGTACTGAGAAGGGTCTGGGGAAGGATTATTAGACTTGAAACATTGGAACAAAAAACAGTTAACATTTCAAATCGAGTGACCCTTCTCCATACTGAAGAAATGTCGCTGGACTCCAAATGTTAACTTTGTTTTTCTCTCTATAAATGCTGCCAGACCTGCTGAGTTTCTCCAGCAATTTCTGTTTGTTTGCTTCAGAAATTATATGGTTGGCTAGTGCGAAATCCAATATTACGTGGTCTTCACGTCCTGCAATTCTGAAACAAAATAGAGTTGATTTGTTCAAATCAATCACCATAAGAAATGACAATAATGGGTCAAATACTTTAAAAAAAATTGAATGGATGTCTACTTCAGACGAGCAAACCACACTTAGTTACAGCTTAACTCTCTTTTATTTGCTGAGAGATCAGGTTAGTCTGACATTTCGTGTAGGTTGTAATTTGAAACAGATGGCAAGACTCAAAATGCTGAAGTGCCCTTAACATGTACATTTTTTAATGGTCACGCAAGAAGAGTAGGGATATAAATTCCTTCATACACCACGGAAAATATACTGATACTTCATTGTTCCGATCATCACAGTTATAAAATCTTGATCAGTAACAGGTTGTTCACTAAAATGTCATTTCAAACGAAGTCTTCCAACTTGCATAAAATGGATATTACAGGAAAGTTTCTGTGGGTAGCGAGGTTCAACTCCAAAACAGGCCCTGGACCTTTAACAGCTGATTAGCTAATTACAATGGGCCAGAAAGTCATGTGAAAATAATTGAGGGGCAAAGACACTTGTCATTAATGGTGTGTAGATCAAACAGCAACTTCAGGCACAAGTTGATAAGTGGTCAAACAATTGAGGTATATTGCTCTGCTCTTTGAGTACCAAAAATAGCACCTTACCAATTCCAAACAGTTAAGCAGCTCGAAATGTCTGTGCTTCCATGGCAGGTATGAACTACACTTGCAACAAAAAGTCAAAGCTTGTTCATTTTAGTCCAAGCACCCTTTTAATGGTGTGAAAAGTCCAAATTACTGCCAAACTGTCACTCTGGAATAAACAATTACTGGTACAGAGTGTAATTCTCTCAGCTTTTACTTCTGTTCAGAATGCTTTGATGTTTCTTTTTTCAAAAAAAGTTTTGTTTACTCTTTCATCGGATGTAGACATCACTGGCAAGGCTGATGTTTGTTGTCCTTCCCTAACTGCCTTGAACTGAACAGCTAGCTCAAGCATTTCAGAGGGCAGTTAAAAGTTGATCAAAGGCTGTGGGTTTGGAGTCACATGTAGGCCTTACTGGGCATGGATGGCAGATTTTTTTCCCTGAAGGACATTAGTGAACCAGATGGGTTTTCTGCAATCTGTAACCTGAACCACCGGATTCAGTAGTCCAGTGACAACTTCCACTCTGCCTCCACCAAGTACTGTAACTGGAGCACTGATGGAAAACACGTAAAGTGAAACAGCAAAAGATCTACATTAAATAATATTTGAATGCACAAGGAATGATGTCAGCTTTACATTAGGCCTAGCCTTTGCCCCTTCAAGTTCCATAAACTGCAGTGAAATTGTGATGAGTTAAATTTGGACAGCACAAAATTTCAATTACATCACAACAGTCAGCCATTCTCACTGGCAGAGGGGAAAATACAATAGAATGCTGCCTGTGATAAACTGATATTCTGAACTGGTAACTCTGGATTAGTCAAATTTGTGTAAGCTTTTCATGTGACCATGTTAATCAATCAGCCTAATTTATGCAGAGTCAACTACGGAAACTTGCACTGGGGAGGATGACACTGTGCTGTGCACAGCAGAGGAGGCAACCGCAAAGCAGTATGTTCTTCAACTGAGCAGCTCAAAAACACCAAAAACTCGCTTGACTACACTGATACACGGCAGACAGTACTGCATTCACCCAAACACAATGCACCAAGCAGAAAAAGATTACTGTTTTTCCTCAGGTAAGTCTGAACATTTGTCAATGCCTTTCAGTAGGCCAGGAATTGTAAGGTGTAAACTGGAAAATAAATAGTTTTTTTTCCTATTTACTCCATTACTATGTTTTAATTTATATGTTTTTTTTTCAGATAGAGTGTTTGCAGGGTTATGCAGTGGTCATTTCAGCTATTCTGAAGCTCCACTTAACATAGTTTTATGGGTGAAATTGAACATTCAACTCATCATGATTTTGCTGTATTTCACCACAAGTTGTTGCAAATAAATACGTATTTGGGCCTTGAGAGACTTTTTTTTTGTTTGAAAAAACAAAATTATTCCCCTTTGTTTATTTTTTGGCTTCTTCCAATAAAATCTCTCTTTTCCTCCTTGGGTATTAAATTCAATCTTCTACTCTGTGATGTTCAACCCTCAATTCTTCAATCCAATCGATTTAAGAAAATGTACAATTGTTTATAAAGTTCACACAGGTCCCAATTACCTACTTCTGCAATTTAGTAAGAAGTCTAGTAAATAAACAAGCAAGGGAGAGTCTAATGAACAGCAGGCGTGACTTATTCACCCGCTGTAGTAAATTTTGGCACAAGAATATTATTTCACAGTGCTTCACTCCATGTGATAATACTTTAGCTCCAATCAGCAAAAAGAACTGATCTTTAACTAATGTTAACTCTAATCCCAGCTGCTTTTTAGGAGTTGAAAACAACAGATTTGATTAACTTGAAAATCAGATATTTCAAGATCATGAGGGGTTGATAAGCAGATGAGCTTGGAAAAGAATGCTGATTGTTATTTGATAGATTAACCAAGTGATATGCATACAATATGAAATCTTCTTGGCTGTGCAGTCTGAAAGCTGAACCTATACTCTACCCACAGTTAATCCAAACAGGGCACAATATCCTTGGGTCTTACGAGGTATGAGCCACATAACAAATGTACTACACAACTATGTTCCCAAGTATAATCAGGACTGGGTGAAAATATGAAATAGCCAGTCTATATAGTTTTGCAATCGCATTAACATACATTTTTCAAGTTGAAAAATAGAGATCTTCATTTAAAAATGATAATTCATGATCTTCATCCTGCATTCCGAACATGGATTATTTACTCATTAAACACCTGCTTTTAAATCTCAATCTATACAAATGCAGCTCTCACTAACCATACCCTTCAACCCACCAACATATTATGCACAACATAACGGGCAGCACAGTGGTTAGCAATGTTGCCTCACAGCGCCAAGGACCCAGGTTCAATTCTAGCCTTTGGAGGAATCTGTGCCTGTGTGGAGTTTGCAAATGCTCCCTGTGTGCGTGGGTTTCCTTTGGATGCTCTGATTTCCTCCCACAGTCCAAAGATGTGCAGGTTAGGTGGACTGGCCATGCTAAATTGCCCATAGTGTCAAGGGATGTGCAATCCAGGTGGATTAGCCATGGAGAATGTGGGGATAGGGGGCTGGTTATGAGTGGAGTGCTTTTTGGAGGGTCGAAGCAGACTCAATGGACCAAATGGTCACTATCTGCACTGTATGGATTCTATAACGGATAACAGTTGTTACTAAGAGCCTAAATGTAAAAAGAAACAATTCCCAAATTATGGTGATGCAAGGTGCATAGTGTTCGATATCTCAACTGTGGAAAAGGTATTGTAGCAATATCGAACACCATTGGCGTATATAATTAAGATACTCGGCATTGCTAGATCATAACGCTCTACAGAATAAAAAATGAATTAACTATTGAAAGTGTTCTAGTAAACTTAAAACAAACTATTCAGTATATAAACTGTTGAAATGTTAAGAGAGCCTGTAAATTAAATTTAATTAAAAAGATTTGAGTTCAGGTTCTGATCAAGTGAAGCCTGGTACTCCAAATGCCAAAGGTTTACCCAATGTCTAACTGAGGTCTGTATGTCACACTGCTCCTGGACATGAAATTTAACCAGCATCTGTTTCAATGAGATAACTCATCTTCTAAGTGATTGAAAATTCCTTCAATCCTTTTATAAGTTTGTGTTGCTTGTTTCGCCAATCCCATTGCATTTTCTGCTTGTTTTGCTGTCCAACATTCATACAGACACAAATATCACTCATTTTGAAAAGAACACAGCACTATTATGCTGGTCAAACATACTGACCAAATTTGCTGAGAACGGGTCAGTAGGTGTCAACACCTACCTCCGGCGTTCAGAACCATCAAGCTTATAGAAGGTTGGGGCACAACCCTATAGAGGTTTATCAAATGATGAGGTGAATGGCAAATGTCTTTTCCCAAGGGTGGGGAATTTCAAGGCTAGGGTGCATATTTCTAAGGTGAGAGGAGAAATGATTTAAAAAGGGCAAAACAGGCGATTTTTAAAATAAAAATAAACCAGAGTGGCTCGTGTGTGGAATGAACTTCCAGAGGAAGTGGTGGATGTGGGTATAGTTACAATATTTAAAAGATATTTAGATAAGTACACGAACACGTTTAAAGGGATAATGGGCCAAGTGCAGGCAGGTGGGTCTAGTTTAGTTTGGAATTATGGTTGGCATGGACTGGTTGGACCAAAGGGTCTGTTTCTGTGCTGTATGGCATTATGACTCTATGCAGACATCATGGAAGATCACCTGTTTCAGCTCCTTTTATAAAGATTTTTCAAATCAATTCAGTATGCAATAAGGTATTGATTCACCTTTGTGAAGCCCACCCTGATTTTCATGGGTGGGATTCAC